GTTAACTTCTATTCTGGATCCTCAACATGCTGGGTCTGCCTGTCTTTCTTAGGATTCCCTCTCTCCATCTGCCTCATTCTCTCCAAAGTTTGTGTTAAGGCTCTGGATTGTAGGATTAGCTTGCAATAGTTAGCATGCCATCCTGCCTCCCTCAGAGACACCAGTGAAGTACTGTGCTGATTCTACAGCCCTGAATTCAGGCATGTCCTTAGACCAGGCGGTAATATAAGGGTCTGAAAGTAAAGGAGGTTGTGCCTGGTGTCTTGTACCCTGTAGTCACTGCACACTCTGAAGTTCCTTCCTGACTTGGCTGGTCTGATCTCATGTGGGCCTGCTCCACCCGTCTATGGGGCTGGGCCTAGAAAAAAAAAAAAAAAAAAACTGACAACTTCCAAAATGTGGCATACCCCACACTAACTCAGACGTTCTATCTACAAGTGTGCACCTGCTGTTGATTTGGGGAACGAGGAGGTATCACAGATTCAACTCAGGGGCACTCGACCACTGAGCCACATCCCCAGCCCTATTTAAAGACAGGATCTCACTGAGTTGCTTAGCACCTCACTTTTGCTAAGGCTGGCTTTGAACTCGGGTCCTCCTGCCTCAGCCTCCCACGCTGCTGGAATTACAGGCGTGCACCACAATTCACATTTTCATGTGGATCTCTCCACTGTGCATCCTATACTGACTTTCTCTCCTACATCCTTTAAGTAAATCATGACCATTTGCTTTACTCCCCACAAGGGTGGCTGTATCTGGTCTGACCAGCCATCAGCAATGAAGCACAAGCTTTCTAGTTATCCACTGGATAAAGTCAAAAGAGAAGACAAACCCTGTCTTTCTGTTGTGTACAGCTGGTTCTCAATAGATACTGATCAAACAAGGACTGTACTCCTAAAAGTAAGGTCATCACCACACCCTAACTAGAGGAAAGGAAGAGCATTAATAGGGCTTGGATGAGGCATTTTAGTAACAAGGCACAAAAACCCAACCAAATAACCCAAGTCTAAAGGGGTCAAATAAAAGGACAAAAGTGTATCTCACAAAAACCAAGTACAAAAAGTATAGCTGAGCCACACGGGTCAACGAGAAGCTACTCTGTCCCTTCCTCTCTAGGACCACTTAGCTTTGTGCTGCTGCTCATTCCCAATGTGCTTCCTCTCTTCTCCCTCCGTGGACCCAGGTCCTTAGTTTCATTAGCACATGACCCTCCCAGATCACCGAACAATGGTGGCCTCTGCTTATTTCTGGGACTACTGACTCACCTTCAGGTAACTAACACCATGCAGTAGCTACATCACCCTCATCAGGGCAGCTGGACAGGGATCCTTACTAGAAAGAATCAACACAGGGGCTGGGGATGTGGCTCAAGCGGTAGCACGCTCGCCTGGCATGCGTGCCCGGGGTTCGATCCTCAGCACCACATACAAACAAAGATGTTGTGTCGGCCGAAAACTAAATAAATAAATATATAAAAAAAAAGAATCAACACAAACTACGCCAAAAGACGTGATGCCCCCAAGAAATTAGAATTCACACATAAATATTGGTTGTAACACCTTTATTTCAGAAAGACTGCAGGACAGAATTTCTTAAGCACGCAACTGATTTATAGATCTAAATCACAGTAATACTGAATATAAAATATTTTATCCTATATAAAAACCGGGCCTGAGAAATTTTCATTTGAATTTTAATCCACTACATTTCACATGATAGGACGATATATAGAAAAAATTAACACAATTGAGAAAAGCAATGGTTCATCCATCAGGAGAAATGATTTCTACCAACGTCTTGCTTATCTTGAGGTCGCAGATCTGACAACCGCAGTTGAAGATCAGAAAATAAGTTGGAAGGAGGGAGCCGAGCCATGAATAATGTCACAAGTCAATGTAGCAAAGTTCACCCATTTTAACGTTCAAAAAGCCTCATTCAGCTGCTGTTCACGTCATGAGGTAGAGGATGCAGTTACATGATTTCCCAACCCCATAGCAAACAGTGGAAGCTTCCAGAGGCAGACACCAAAATAGCAGAGAGAAATGACAGCTAACAGTGAGGGGAAAGAAAAACTCTTAAAACCACCATGGAACTCAAAGAGCAAATACATCTGGGGCTATTCAGTGTAGGACTCTAATAAACCTAGACAGAGCATGTCATAATTAAAAACACAAATGAGGACCTGAAAACATTTCATTCTCTTCAATGCTTCTGTTTTTCAAAGCAGGGAACATATACTAGATTAAGAAACAATTCCATGGAAATGGTCGAAACAGCAAAAAAAGAGTCCAACTTAAAAAAATAACCTTGAGTTGTCTATACTGTGTGCCCTACGAAATCTAATAAATGGGATTGTTAATACATATACGCTGCTTATAAAAAACACAGAGTAGAGCTGGGGGTGCAACTCAGTGGTAGAGAATGTGCTTAGCATGCACAGGGCCCTGAGTTCCATCCCCAGTACCACAAAAAAGAAGAAAAAAAAAAGCCACAAAGCAATTCATATAAAAATAATGCAGCACCTTTTTCATTTATATATAATTTAAATCCTAACAGCCTTCCTGGGAAAAGTACCTCAATCACTGTAGGGATAGCTTGAGTCAGCCTCTCTCTGCACAGGAACTTCATACTGAGTTCTGAGTGATCAACTACATTGATCAGGGGGCCAAACTGACTGTAAAACTGTCCTAAATGAAGGAGTCATTGAGGCCAAAAATACCTCTCCCAAATGAGTGCTTCTCAAAATGTGGTCTGTGGAACAGCACAACCAAATCTCCTGGAGAACTTGTGTCAAAATGCAGATCCTGAGTTCCAATTGAAAGTGCATGAGTCAGAATCTCTGGAGGAAGGACCAGCAGGCCTGCAGGTCAATACACCCCTCCAGGGGTGTCTGGTACATCCTCTCTTTGAAGGGCAGGCTCACTGGCCCCGTCAGGAGGAGACCAGCCAGGTCTGTGAATTTACCCTTCCCATTCTTGTTCCTAGTGTGTCCATCAAAGCAGCAATCCTAGCTTTGACATTTCTTACACTACATATCAGATGACAAAGTAAAAGATGGGATTCTATAATATGCATATAAGTTAAATGAATCTAAAAAACCTTAATTAATTCTGAAAACTCCATAAGTTTTTGAAAACCATGTATATGAAGCTTGAAGTAAAAGATGCCTGTAGGGGAAAAATACTGAGTGAGGAAAAGTGTTTGATGCAGGTCCAGAGGATTACTGTGGAACGAGGAAGAAAAATGCATCCAAAAGCAATCTTGGAGGAAAGGCAGGATGCATTTTATGTCCAGAATACAAACATGCAAATCTATTAAAAATTGGCTGGGATGTGCAGGCCAATCCTTAACACCCTACAAACACAGGCTGAAAAGTACTGGCTGGCAAACCTATTTGGCTAGAAGAGACTTTAAGCAATTCTGAAATTTTTGCAACATGAAAATTAAGAGATCTCTTTTTATTTTTTTTCCTTTTCCTGGAAAATTGAAAATAAAATAGAAAAAACAGCCACACTGCTACACTGTGCTGGTGCTGGACAGCAGCTGCTTACTCTCAACCAGACATGCGCTCCCTGGACCTCGACAGCAGCTACCTGCTTCACTCTTCAGACCAGCTGCCAGGTCGCTGCTCACATTGGCACTGGCCACCCCAGCTACAGGGAACCAAGGCACCAATTCAGCCTCTCTCTGCTACACTCTGCTTCTAGTAAAAGTCCCTGTTACAGAGATCCTTTCCTACCTCTGACACATTATGAAAGAAATCAGATAAATGTCTAAAATTAGATGCCCATTGGAATCACATGGGGAACTTCTGAAAACACTGATGCCTGGGTTCCACCTCCAGAGGTCCTGATTTCTTGATCTAGGTGCAGCCCAGGTCATCAGGACGGCATTGCCTTCCCCAAGTGACCCGAATGGACAGCCAAGGCTGAGAACTCTGGCCTGCAGAGGATGCACATTGTTCAGTAGGAAAGGTTAAGCTTATACCCAACATCAATCTCCAAATAAAAATTTTTGCCTTTCACCTTCAACAATTTATATCACCTCCTACTTTTGGAAAGGGGCTATTATTTCAAAACCCTACTAAATGGAAGAGAAGGTCAAAATGTGTTCTGGTTTCTACCATTCATTTTCCCTCCAATAGAACTGAATAAAACACTGAGGAGATGGAAGAGAAATTATCCCAGGAGACAAGACTCAAGCAGCACAAATAGCTCAAGTACAAGAGAGGAGGCTCACCGTGGCAGGCTTGTATGAGAAAGTAGAATTGCTCTGAAATTCATCAAGGCACTAAGTGGAAATCTTTCAAATATTAAAAAAAGAACAATCTCCCCAAGAATTTCCAGTAATGGCCCAATTTTTATCTTAAGATGAATTCCAAATCATTGCCTCTCTTCAAGCTCTCTGTTAGGTAGCATACTTTCATATTTCGGCTTCTCATCATGAGAAAGGCAAACTACTGTCATCTAATTTTCAAACAAATACTCCCTGACATTACAGTTGAAAACTCTATGTTCAAATGGTTTTACATAATAATGGCTTCTATTTACTGGGTTTCCGGGCATCAAGCCACATGATGAGCATTTTATATTCGTGATCTCAAAGCAGTTCAAAAACCTCAGAGTTCATCTCATCACCTCATTTTATAAATCGTGAAAAAATGAGCTTCAGGAAGATTTTTATGAATGTGATCAATGAACTAGTAGACGGGTTTGTATTCAAATCCATGTCTATCTATCTGACTCCCAAATTTGTGTTCTTCAAACTAAACTATCTTGTTAGTCATCACAACCCAGAGGCAAAAGACCTGTGCCTGATTGTCCCCACTCTTCCAGTAAAAAAAAAAAAAAAAAAGCAGAGCTGAATGACTTGCTCCATATCACAGGATGAGTTACTGGGAGTCATGACCAGAACCTGCCTTCCACCATCCATTCCATGTTCTTCTAGAGCACCAAGCACAGTCAGTTCATGCTACATTATGAAAGCTATGCTAACAGTGCTTATGCATCAAAAGTCTTTTATTTCTGAAAATCTTAAACATTGGTATACATATGGCTTAGCTTCAGCACAGGTCTGGCACATGCCTGTTTCAAGCCCCCTAGAACAGGTAATTGAGCCAACAACTTTATATGTTCCAGAATCCACTCATGAATCCCATGAACAATCATGCTGTTAAAATATGGGTACAAGCACCACCACCCTAGGCCTTTGACTGCCCTGGTGCCATCACAAACAAGTAGCAGGACATCCTGAGGAAGAGTGGATGTCATCTCACATGGATCTTTTTCTTTATTTATAAAATCATAAAGAGACTGTTCATAAAAATCCAGCTAGATGGTCTCATCTCCATGAGTCCCACTATTTGAAGCAGGCTCCAAGGGGAGGGTATCGTTTTATGTCCTGGCAAGGATGTCTCCTCTTCTTTATTCTGCCAATACTGTATCCTCAAACCTGTATTCCAGGAACTGTGCCTACGATGTGTTGTGGCCAAGAAGTTATTATTGGAAAGAAGCCCACTTGGACACGGCTCCCCTGCAAGAGAAAACAAACAGGCTTTATCACCTAATAAACATGTCTACTGATCGATACTTATTTGCCCTCTTTTCTGAAGCAACTCCTCAGAGTCACTTGAATTCATCATTACGGATAATTCTTGAAGAAATCGCATTCCTACCTCCTAATGATCTTCGAACAAAGCCAGCACCTCATTTTATTAAGTCCAACTAGCTAGAGGAGCTGGTTCAGAGAGGAATTTAAGATATAGCTAAAACTGAGGTCTTAATCATCACGATGTGACAGAATGCTGCTGTGTTATCAAACCTCACAAGTCCAGTATCCCAACTGCCAGTGGCAAGAACAAACAGATGTCAGGGCTATTTGTTTTATTCAAAAATGACAGGAAATCAAAAATCTATCAAATGATGTGTCAGCAGCAACGCCACAAGCATACTGGCGACTGAGATTTATATGCCTCCATTTTGGCTCATGACAAAATCACCTTCTAAGTTTTCTAATTTTCAAACATCCGTTTGGTTATACTGGTCAGAGAATTTGAGGAAGTTATCTTTAATTGTAAGAACCATATAAAATGTAGTCACATTCTATGTGTATTTAAGTTATGCAAACGTGAAATACAGCGTGATATAAAATATTAAGTAATCTCTCCTTATGCACATTTTTACAAATCCAGCAAAATATCTTTTAAAAATTGAGAGCAGCAAAATTCCACAGTCTAGAATACTGTGTAAATTATAAACAGCACCTCTACTACCGTCACATCACAGTGCCACTTTATTTGCTAACAAAATGCCTGTATTTCTACTCCACTGGGTATGTGTGTTGAGAACTTTATGAGCAATTTTAATGACCACTGTGGCTGGTATTTTAAGTTCACTGTTATCATTTTAGTACTTTTTATGTATCCTGAAAATACCATCATCCAAATCACAAAAGTGATAATCCTAGACTCAATGCAGGGGAAATAAACTGCCAAACTATAAACTTTGGAACACAGGTAAGATATCATGAATACTGTTTGTTTATCTATCTATCTATCTATCTATCTATCTATCTATCTATCTATCTATAATGAGGATTGAACCCAGGGGTACTTAACCACTGAGCCACATCCCCAGCCTTTTTTTAACTTTTTAATTTGAGACAAGGTCTCGCTAAGTTGCTCAGAGTCTCACTAAGTTGCTGAGACTGGCTTTGAATTTGCGAACCTCCTGCCTTAGCCTCCCAAGCTGCTCGGATTACAGGTGTGCCCCACTGTGTTTGGTTGATTTTGAGAGTCTTAATTCTTCAACGTGCCTGGCTAAATACTGAATTTTTTTTAAAAGAAAAAAGGTCAACACCAATAAAAAATATATAAATGAACTGAAATGAAAAGTAAAAAAGGTTGTGAATGTAGGTCAATGACAAGAGTGCTTATGTAGCATGCAAAGGGTCCTGGGTTTGATATCCAGCATCACACACACACAAAAAGGCAATCACAACACTCCTTGACATTAATTTGGACTAATTTAGGATGCTAACTCAGGGAGCAATAATTCTTTCCTTAAAAGGCCAGATAAGAAATATGTTAGGCTTTGCAGACTATAAGATCTCTACTATCACAAGTATTCAGTTCTGCTGTTTTAAGTCTGAACATAGCCAAGTACATAGCTGTGTCCCAATAAAACTTTATTTATAAAAGTAGACAGCAGACTTGATTTAGCTTATTGGACTATCATATTCTCATCCCTACTGTCTAAGTATGGTGTCCCATTTCTTTTAACATAGCTTTACACTACTCAAAAACAAGTAATCCTTTGACACACCTAAAACCATCCCCACATTTTCCTTAGAGCTATTTTAAAGAAAATAAAAAGTTTCATTAAAACAGAAACATCTCAAAATTGAAAAGCTTTGTAAAAATAGTCAAGAAATTTATGTGGGAGGGGATAAGTTGGTAACATCAAAGCCTCAAAATTTTCTGTACCATATTTGTGGCAATGCTTATATGACTCATTTTTCAAAACTCAACAAACTGTACTCTTAAAATTAGTTCATTTATGGTAGAGAGTGTGCCTCTCGTGCACAAGGCCCTGGGTTCAACCCCCAGCACCACATACACACAAACACACAAATTATATATATTATTTAATTGTATATAAGTGATATCTCACTGAAGCTAATTTTGAGAAAAACTTAAAGCCTTAGCAACAGCCTTTAGTTTACAGTAATTGTAGATTTATTAGTGAGAGTTAATGGGTATGTGCTCACTTTACATTTTCTCCTCTGAGAAAAACTGGTTATGAACTTTGAGTTTGAATTATGTAAATCCTTCATGAATTCTATTATATTGACTGCGAAAAACGCAACTATCCTATACTAACCTCCTGGCTATATGCAGACTTAAACACCACCACTCCACTTGAAAGAGAGGAGAATGAATTGGTTTTCTTTTTTTTTTTTTTTTTTTGCAAACAATGCAAAGCCCTGAATTCATGGCTTAGGCCTCAATCACAGTAAACACACACACACACACACACACACACACACACACACACAAAGATAATAGGTAATCAAAAGGAAATGCTACTAAATTATTTAATTTGCTCATCTTTACTAACAACACTTTATTTTTTTTTATTTTTAATTTTTTATTGTGGGTTGTTCAAAACATTACAAATTTCTTGACATATCATATTCCACACTTTGATTCAAGTGGGTTATGAACTCCCACCTTCACCCCATACACAGATTGCAGAATCACATCAGTTACACATCCATTGATTTACATATTGCCATACTAGAGGGTGGAGGATGGGAAAGGCAGCGGAGCACAACAGACACTAGTATGGCAATATTCCTAACAACACTTTAAATCCAAGCTGCTTCAAAGCACAAGATGACCTGAGTCTCAGCTCTTTTACCAATTGTGTCCACTTCAGCCTAGAGCTTGTCAACATTCAAATCACCAAAAAAAGGCAAGCAAGACTGAGATGCTAAAATCAGAGAAAAGGCATACAAAGAAAACCATTCTTCCAATTAATCTAAAGTTGACCAAATGCGGGCAACAATTTCAAAACCCCAGCTGTAAGCCCCCCTAGTGCCTAAGCACTGAATCTGTCTCCATCCAAAAATGGGAACTCATTTAAAGCAGTCACTCTCAAAATGTGGTCCTGGGTCCACCATCACCATCACCTGGAACGTGTTCTAGAAACACAAACGCTCAGGAGACCACCCAACTTACTGAATCACCATTCTGTGCTTAACAAGTCTTCCAGATGATTCTGATGTCTGCTAAAGTTTTAATGACACTAATTTGAAGTTTGAAAAACGATAGGTATATGTAATCGGAGGCCCCTCATGCCTTCATGGAACCAGAACCTGACTTTAGATCCCACCAGCCAGGGTAAAATGTGTGCCCAAATACAAGCAATGCTCAGTGAGCCTCGGCTGATGTGGCCACATTCTTCTCTACAATTTCTTAAGGAATGGGGAGTAAAACATTTAAGATTAAGTTCTGACATTTTATGAGCACCTGCCGTGTGTGCTATGTAAAACGATCTTGTTTAGCCTTTCCAGTAATAATGAAATCTATTAATATGTGTCAAGTATGGAAGCTTAATCAGAATGGAGTCCAATCTGCAAAAAACAGAAACACTTTACAGTTTCCAACTGATGTTCATTCACAAGCCTGGCCAGCATGCTTTGAATACCAAGGCATTTGTATACAAGCGTTCCTTTTGCTTATTCTTTCATAAATTGCTCTCAGAGTTCATTGTGCATTACAATTAGAACACGAGGTCACTTATACAAAACCATATACTGTGTTTTTAAGCCAACATAAGGTAATTCTGAAATACCCAAAGCACTGTTTGCTTTACTCGGAGGTTTACCTTCTCTCTAATGTTAAAAATCTACCTTTAAATTCAGCAAGATGTTATTCATTTATTTTGGTTTTATTCTCTATTAAATAGCTTTGTCCCATCCTTTCCACTGTGAAAAACTTTCTCCTTGATGTAGACAATAGAAATTACCAGGGGAGGGAAAGTGAATAGTTCTGTGATTCCCCAGTATCTGTTGTTAACCCTTCACCATTTGCCATACACAAGAGCTGTCTTGTTTGCTGCCTGTGACCATAGCATACATTACCAGTCACTCAAGGTTCTCTTACCCATAGCCTTAGCACTATTTTCAAGCTTTAGAATCTTTCAGAATAGCATTTCAGGCAGACACCTTCAATCAGTGGGTTGAGTATCCTTTATATAATGCTTAGGACCAGAAGTATGTTGGATTGGGAACATACATATTTTCAGATTTGGGAATATTTGCATCTACGTAATGAAATATCCTGGAAATGGGACCCAAACATGAAATTCATTTTTGTTTCATATACTCCTCATACTCATAGCCTAAGGGTAAATTTAGGAAATATTTTTAGTACACCTGGACTGCCATCATCATGTAAGGTCAGGTATAAAATCTTCCGCTTGTGACATCATGTCAGCACTCAAAGTTTCAGACTTTGGAGAATTTCTTATTTTGGGTTTCCAGATTAGGAATGCTCAACCTGTATGACTAATAAGATAACATTTGTTTCACTGGCCAATCAACATTTTCCCTTCTTGTTATCCTTCCTGCTCCAATAACAGTTTTAAATCTGCTTTTGTTGTTCTCTGAACAATAATATTAAGCTTCAGTTAATCCTGAGCTGCAGTCTTTACAAATCTATGCCACCTTGAGGGTCTCAATCAGGGTAGATTATACTGAACAGTTTTAACAATTTGAATGCAGTTGTGACCCAGCACGTAGTACAAAACTGCTCTGAAAATCAAAGAACCAAGCAAATAAAGGTACTGAATAGATAACAAAACACCTGTGAAATAGCATTCTGCAGACATAGCTGGGAAATATACAGCATGAATAGCCCAGGGAGGCTGATACATAATGCCAAGCTCATAATCATGAACACATGGCTTGAGTAAATGATTCTGATTTTGCTTTTGGTACTCACTGATGATTCCTTATTCAGCTAAGGGGGCACCACACTGTTCCTTTAGCAGCATCTCCATTATTCTAATTCCCTATAAAGAGAGAGAAAGAAAAATCAAAATGCCATATTTCATAGACAAGCACTTTTACATTTATCACATCCTTGTCCCTTCAAGGAATCCAGATCACAGCTAGATATTCATTTCAATAAAGTAGGCTCAGAGTCATCTCATGCATTTTCATAATATTTTACTCACAAATTTCACCTACACTATATTTCCACATGTGCTCAGACCCTTTTAGGGAGACAGGCAAAACAGAGTTTGGGATCTCCATGGTAAACACAAGGATAGCCCAAGAGAAGTTGGGCAACTTCTTGAAAGTGCCCAGCTACCAATCGGCATTGCCAGAGCTAGAATAGCAATGAGCTAATATTTGTTAACATTGACAAGTGTGCTCACTTCACTACCAAGACATCCTGTGTGCTACCAGTGCAGTGGGTGCGGGAGTGCCCAGTGAGTTACCCTCCAGGTCACAAGCACTCCTGTCCCCAATGACCAGGACTGTAAGCTGCCGTGGGCACACGGCCACCCTCAACCAAAGGGAGCTGAGGCCATGCCTGCCTCCAGGCACAGCCACATCCAACAGCTGCTGGATATTAGGATAAAAATTCAGGACAATTTTGAAGGGCACCTCACCCTGTTGTTCTCCACAGCAGGAGCTGAGACCTTTGCTGCAACTTCACCCTGGTCAACGTCACCTTCTCCTAATCCTGCTTCCCTCATTCTATCATGGAGTTCCTCCTGTAAGTTATCTCCAATACACTCTGCATGCAAACCTCCATCTCTGAGCCTGTGTACCCAGAGCCCAACTGTAACCCCTTGTCTGATACACACAAAACCCTCAAGCAAGTAGAATTCTTACCCACAGTTTACTAATGAGGAAACAAACTCAAAAGGTTTTAAGCAATTTGCCCAAAGTCATACAGCTTTCAAGAGACAGGACAGGGAAGGCACACAGGCCCTCTGCTCCGGTTCTAGAGATACCTCTTAACCTTCCAGCACCACTCAATCCACAACTGTCCAGCCAACCTCCTACACCCCTGCCCTGTGCAGTAAAATTCTACCTTGGAGGAAAGTAGATAGATCTATCTTTTCTTCCTTCAAGGACAAGTTCTTTGGCAGGCAAGATGGAATTATATGTAAATTTGAAGGAGGGTCTTAAGGGCCTCAAAGCTGAGTCTAGGGACTCACTATTCTCAGAGACAGAGGCTGGAAAAGCATTTGAAGAGAATAAAAATTATGAACCGAGGGGGGCTCAGTGGGGTGGGGCACAGTGGGGCTGCGGCCTTGCAAAGGTTCCAGAGGCTCCAACATGCGTAGGGCGGCTGCGGTCTGGCTCAGGGTCTGTGTGCACACGGGCTGCGCCTGCTAGTTCTATGCAGGTCTACATGCTCCTTGCAGCGTTTCCTGACTCAGGTGGATGGCTGCAGCGCGGGCCTGCGGCCTGATCCAGCCAGACCACGGCTTCAGCTCTGGACGAGCTGCAGAAAGATCTAGAAGAAGTAAAGGTGTTGCTGGAAAAGACCACTAGAAAAAGAGTACATGATGCTCTTATAGCAGGGGGAAAAATCAGATACAGAAATAAAGGACAAGATGCAACAGAAATTACAGAAGAAACCAGAACTTCTTGAGGAGGAAAAGCCAGATGCTGTGGTTGCTCACATTACAACAGGATATACCCTGAAAATCAGTAATTATGGATGGGATCAATCCGATAAATTCGTGAAAATCTACATCACTTTAACGGGAGTTCATCAAATTCCCGCTGAGAATGTGCAGGTTCATTTCACAGAGAGGGTCGTTTGATTTTTGGTAAAGACTCTAAATGGGAAGAGTTACTCCATGATTCTGAACAATCTCTTGAAACCCTTCTCTGAGGAAAGCAGTTCAAAAACAGTTAAGACTGACACAGTTCTCATCATACGTAGAAAGAAAGCAGAAAACACAACGGTGAGAGTATTTGACTCAGGTTGAAAAAAGAATGCAAAGAGAAAGAAAAGCCTTCATATGACACTGAAACAGATCCTAGTGAGGGATTAATGAATGTTCTAAAGAAAATTTATGAAGATGGAGATGATGATATGAAGTGAACCATTAATAAAGCCTGGGTGGTATCAAGAGAAAAACAAGCCAAAGGAGATACAGTATTTTGAGACATTTAAGTCTTTCTGGGAACTGTGATGTGGAAACATGGATGTTTCCAATAAGGGGAATGTTGGAGAGCTGCACATGTAAATTTGACATATCTATGTACACAGTGAAGGCAGTAAATTCTCCATTTCTTTACTGGAGGATTTATTTAAATAAAATGTGCTTATTAAATACTTACTCCAAAAAAAAATTAGGAGTAGAATGTAAAATACAGTCCCCTGCTGGGCATGGTGGCACACACCTATAATCCCAGTGACTCAGGAGACTGAAGTAGGAGGATCACAAGTTTGAAGCCAGCCTCAGTAATTTAGTGAGAGCCTGTCTCAAAATAAAACTAAATTAAAATTAAATAAAAATTAAAAAAGGACTAGGGACATAGCTTGGTAGCAAAGTTTCCCTGGTTTCAATCCCCAGCACCAAAATAATAATAATAATAATAATAATAATAATAATAATAATAATAATATACAGTTTCCAACCCCTCTCAGGAAGATTCTGCTGTAACAGGACTCAAGCAGGTCCCGGGTCCCTACACCCAGAATGAGCACTCATATGATTCTCTTATGATCAAGCAGGGCTGGAAAACACTGAATGGCTTACAGAACAAAGGCAAGGACTTCCTACTCCTTCTGAGCCAAAGATGGAGATGGAGGTAATCAAAGGCATCACTAGAGAAAACAACAGAATATATTAACACCAAAGTAGAATGAATGAGTTCTGATCCAGAAGGTTCTTCAGATTCTGCCAGGGCCATCACCCCAAACACAGCCATCGTCTTGGAAGAGAAACTGAGACATATCCAGTGCCATGGAGCATTAGCCAAAGCACAGCAGCAAACTACCCAAGATGCTGTCATCCAAGCCAGGAGACCTGAGTCCTAGTCACTTCTCCACCAGCCATTCTGCTGGGTACCTTAGGCTGCTCACTTTACTAAGGAGTGCCTCAGACCACAGAGGTCAGGGGTCTGCAAGGCAAATTGGATTAGTGTCTTCTACACCCTCTGCACACCAGAATTTCTACAGCAATCCACAAAAGCAAATAAACTTTCAAATAGACTCCCTACCAGTGACTCCATCAGAAATCCCAGGACTGAGGCCTGGAATCTGTGCATTTATAACATGTTCCATGTGATTCTGAAACACAAGTTCACATACTGGAATTTGTAAGTAGCAGCTTCATACTACCTCTGAGATCCCTTTCAAACTCTACCAGTCTGGGAACTGATGAAGTAGGGTCTCCTTAATCACTTCTGAAGATGCAATATGTACTGTACTCTTTGGAGTTATTCTCCTTTAAATAATTGGGAGAAAGAAGCAGAGGCAGGGGATGAAACAATCAGAGGAACAAAAATTAACTGAACTCTTTTTTTTTAATGCAAATCTGTTTTTCTTTCTTTTCTCCATTATTATTATTTTTCCATATTTTATTGGTGCATTATATTTGTACATAATAGTGGGATTTATTGTTACATATTTGTACATGCACAAAATATAACAATATAATCTGGCCAATATCATTCCCCACTATTTCCCCCTTCCCTCTCCTCCTCCCTCCCCATCCCTTTACTCTACCCATCTCCCTTTGATTTTCATGAGACACATTGTCCCCCACCTTTATTTTCCTTTTTTCTCTCTAGCTTCCACATGTGAGAAGAAAACATGCAACACTTGACCTAAGTTTGGCTTATTTTGCTTAACATAATGGTCACTAGTTCCATCCATTTTCCTGCAAATAACATAATTTGATTTTTTTATGACAATAAAATTCCATCATGTAATATGCCACATTTTCTTTAGCCATTCATCGATTGATGGCCTTTTTTTTTTTTTTAGTTTTTTATTGGTTCTTTTTAGTTATACATGAACATAGAATCCATTCTGACATAATATATATGTCAAATTCTTAACATAAGACTTGGATTGTACTCATTTCTGTCCTCATGTATTCAAAACCCAATCCAATTAATATATTTATTATGCACCTACTGTGTGCATTAGAGATTAAATGGCAAAAAACAAGACAGGCCCCACCATCATAGAGCTTACAGACCTGTGAATTCTAGGCAATTTTTATTTTTCTGTTCTTATTTTGTTTTGTTTTTGTTGTTGTTTTGTTTTGTTTTAACAAACCCCTGGACAGTAATTAAATGTCCTCATTCTACTTTTAGGAATACTAAAAACTCCCACATAAATTCCTTTTCAAACTTCTTTTTTGCAGAGCAGGTGCATAAATCCAGCTAGTATGTCTTTAAAAGAAGAAAAGCACATTCCTTCCTTGAGAGGTGGGAGTCTGTGAACTCTCCCATCTGTCTAAATGAAGACCGCCACCACTTATTGAGCTGAGCACTAATTGACATCAGTGAGGACTCTGAGGTTTGCCCTGGGAATTGAAAGACGTTATTTATTGAATCAACTATGTTCACAATGTGACAGTTGATTTTTCTTTCTCTCTTTTCCTCTCTCTAATACCATGTTAGTCTTTTTAAGAAGAACAGTTAGGAGGCAGAGAATGGGCTGGGGTGGGGAGGAGAAGCCTATAAAGTGAACCTTAAAAAATAAAAAAATAAAAACAGGGAAGCCAGCCATTATTTAGTAACTCTCTTTGGTAAGGAAGTACCAAATCAAAGCCCAATCAATAGAGTCCTTTCAAATACAGTTCATTCCAACACTTAAATCTCAACCCCTAGGAGATCAGACTTAAAGGGGCTAAATTTATACCACTTATCACACAATGATGCCTGAAATGCAGAACAAACATTAAGTAAAAAACACCTTTATAGATACAGCTTAAAAGCTTTTTGGACTGACAAACCATAAACCAGCTTGATTTTATTATTTCTTTCCCCTTAGAGAATATTTTTTTCTCTATTGCGAGGCTAT